GATAATTCTTGAGTTCAGTTTAGAGAAACTTCTTTTACATGATGCAACAGACACACATATTGTTAAAAAGAATCTCAGGCACAATGACAAGTTTGGCAAGGTTTCACAAAAGTCCCATTTGACAATAAACTTCAGGAACTGCAAGACTGTCCATTTATTTGCTTCTTCAGGTGTGATTTTGGCAGCCTCCACGTGTCTGCGAAGTCGCATAATTTCTACCATGACATCCTCATCAGAAATTTCCCTTGAAGTTGTTCTTCTTTTGCAGAAAGCAAGTAGCTTGGCTGAATAGCTGCAAATATTGACAAGATGTTATCCATGGCCTCTGAACGAGCATCCAATTCTAGACTAAATCGATCTAAGCATTCAAACACTGATCTCCTCGTTTCCTCTTGCATTGTCAGTCCAGCATCCCTAGCCACCTCTCCTGGCATCATTTTCTTGCGTCTTATCCTCCCTCTTGTTTCCATGGAGATGCCCATTTCTTCACATTGTGTAGTTGCATATTGAATCGCTCTCCACAATTTCATTCAGCTGACCTCGAAGAAACAATTTCAAACCATTGAGCTTTACAGTGCACTTTTCAAGACTTATTCCTTCTGTTTACAAATACTTCTGTGTGAGATTCACTTCTTCCAGTACATCACACCAAAAAGAAAGATAACCCAAAAAATAAAAATCACATACAGCTTTACGCAAAACTTCAGCTGATCCTCGTGTCAATATTTTCTCTTTGATCCGTCAATGTTTCCAGGGCTACGATCAGCTTCTCCAATTGTTTCTTGAGAAGCTTTATGGCATCATGGTGTGCACTCCATCTAGTCTGAGAAAGTATTTTGACTGTCAGGTTCATATTTTCTTTCAGTACTTCCCATCGGCGAGTTGAAAGTGAAAAAAAAAAACAATAAAGTTTCTCTACAGTTCCAAAGAATGTTACACATAAAGGATTGGTTCCAAAAGAGTGTACCCCACAAAGGTTCAAGGAATGATTGGCACAAACAAAACCTTTGGAGTTATTTCTTTGATTTTCTTCTGAACACCTCCATGAATACCAGCCATAGATGCAGCATTATCATATCCTTGACTGCGGCAAAAGTTAATGTCCAGTCCATCACTCTCCAAATTACTCAGGATATCCTTTGTGAGCTCATTTGCATTTTTCCAGCAATAGAAAAGAAACCCAAGAAAGATTCCCTTACTTCAACAGAATCACCTTCAATATGAACATATCTAACCACTTCGCACATCTGATCTGTATGAGAAATATCAGGTGTACTAGTAGTGGATTCCTCCCCTACAAACGCTGTTTGTCGTTGAGTAGCCGACCCCGCGAATTCCCCAGTGTATGCCTCGTGGTCTAGGTCAACCAGCGCCGCCTTACATGACGGAGGTCAACTATTAAGCCACGCCTACCTCCGCTATATAAGACCTGACCTCGTGGTGACCCTACCTCTCTCTTTCTACCTACACCAACAAGCAAGCAACACCTCCTCCGCTCCTGCCTGGCGGCCCTCGCTCCCGCCGGCGAGCATGGCGACCCACAAGCTGGTCCTCCTCTGAGCATCCTCACCAACCAGCTCTCTCTACATCACGCTTGTAACCACGCTGCCACTTCCCAGCACCAAGCTGCACTGTACATCCAATACAATATGTATACAGAGAGCACATTGTGAGTTTCCTTTCTCCATCCCATCCTGAGTGCGAACCAACAACTCATACCCCACATACTGTCAAAAAGAATTCCAAAATACTTGGCCTTCTTGATGTCAGCCAAAATTTTTTCCTTAACATTATTTCCTAGAAGACAGATGAATTCATTCTGAATATTTGGTGGGTGACAAATAAGAGCTCACTCTCCTTCCAGATGTCTGAGATGGAATAGCATGCTTAACCCCCAAATGATGTTCTTTCAAAACAGGATCATAGTTTGATAGTAACTCCACCAGTTCCAGGAAATTGCCTTTGTTTATTGATGACATATCCGCCCTATGACCACGAAAAGGAAGGTTCTGTCGATCTAGAAATATAGTCACATCCAAAAGACGATGAAGTATGTCCCTTCTTCCTCTCTGTCCATTGCAGCTTGATTACCATGATCAACAGTTCTTTGAGCTTTAGTCCTGCCTCATGGCACCCCCTCTGGCTGTCACCCGGGGCGGACCGCCCCCGCCTCCTCCCCCCCTTACTACGCTACTATGTACACTTTTTTCCTTTTCTCTATCTTCGTAATAAAACTTCGATGAAAGTTAACTGACTTTGCTTTCAATTAAGCATACATGTATCTTTGTTCACAGCATCACAAAGATTATTAAAAATTAATGAGACCTTCAGTAAATACACGTGCGACTAAAATCAATGTTCACTTGACTCACCATTCTTAAGGGAAGACCTTAACAGCAACAGACGAGCCATCCTACCCGACCAGTGCTTACTGCCATACTAAAAAATCAGCGAGCAGCGATAGGTGGAGCGAACGGTGGAGATGGAGGTGCATAATACAGCAAGGCAACAGTCTCCAGTGTTCGGGTGTAAGCCATTTTATCACGCTGTGGTACTAATGTTTTTCTTCGGGAAATTTGCGTTTATGATCCCATAAGTGTCCATGGAAAATGGTGTAAAATATTGATTCCGGATAAATCAGGAGTAGCTAACCAGGAATGAGTCGATTTGTATCCAACCGATGAAAATTTTAGATGTAGTCCCGCTATTCACTTAGCCAATAGGATAATAAAAAATAGAAGACAGTAACTATTACAGAGATCAATATTAACCCCATAAACAACAACAACAACAACAACAACAACAAAAATGACAAAGAAACTAAAAGAAAAAATTAATTTTCTTATGAAATTAAAAAATATAAACTTTAGGAGCCATAAAAACTTAGTAATCATGGGTGGCAAGTTACGAGTCTAGGAAGTGAGGCAGAGTAACTGCCTAACTGGCAACTTGCTGAGCCTGGTTGTTTTTGTTATGCAATAGGTGATTGTTACGCAATAACTTCTGGTACAAAGTCGGGTAAATTTGCACTTCCACCTCCCCATCTGTTAGAAAGTTAAAAATATATTTTTCTAGTGTATTTGTGTGTGTTTTGACCGAATATGACCTTCATTTCTGTCGGCAATTGGCCAGGTTCTTGTTCGTAATTAGATTCTGAGATTCTTACACAACGCCACATGTTGGTCTGCGATATTTACATTCAGTATAGGAGATGTAAACAGGGAAACCAGATACCAGATGAACAACGATGCCATAGAGAAATCCGACTGCGAGAGAGATTTAGGAGTAATGATAAGTAGGAACCTTAAGCCAAGTAAACAATGTGTTTTTGCTCGTAACAAGGCTAATAAAGTACTTGGGTTCATACAAAGGAGTGTTAGTTACAAGACTAGCGAGGTCATCCTAAAACTGTATCTTGCTCTTGTGAGACCACACCTGGATTACGCAGTTCAGTTCTGGTCACCGTATTACAGAATGGATATAGAATCCTTGGAAAGAATTCAGAGGAGAATGACAAGACTAATCCCGGGCATTAGGAACCTTGAGTATAGAGACAGGTTAAAGCATCTTAATTTGCACTCCCTCGAGAGACGTAGAGCGAGGGGCGACCTGATAGAGGTGTATAAGTGGAAGACAGGGCTAAACAAAGGGGACATTACAAAGGTACTCAAATTATCCAACCAGGTGCGAACTCGTAACAATGGTTTTAAATTAGACAAATTTAGATTTAGGCGTGAAATAGGTAAACACTGGTTTGGAAACAGAGTAGTGGATGAATGGAACAAGTTACCAAATATCATCATTAACTCGAATACGCTGAATTGCTTCAAAAATAGGTTGGATGCTCATATGAGCAATAGGGGTTGGGTGTAAACGGGACTGCCCAGTATGGGCCAATAGGCCCGCTGCAGTTTCCTCCATTCTTATGTTCTTATGTTCTTATGTTCTTAGTACACCTTACTGAGGTTGGAAGAACACTATGCGATCAGCTCCATATACTTTAAGTGACACCCATTGCAGACTTCCATGGTCGGAACTGAACTTGAATTTCCAAATATGAGACCCAAAATAAAAATAGATTTTGATTGGTCAAAAAATACTGCGAATTAAACCCCAAATCATTTTAATTGGTTGCAAAAAAAAAAGGCTCCTGATGATATATGAAGGAGACGCAGTGTTGGAGGTGAGTGTGGGGTTCAAGATGTTTGGTTCACACTCAGGATGGGATGGAGAAAGGAAACTCACAATGTGCTCTCTATATACATGTTGTATTGGATGTACAATGCAGCTTGGTGCTGGGAAGGCGGCATGGTTACAAGCGTGATGTAAAGAGAGCTGGTTGGTGAGGACGCTCAGAGAAGGACAGCTTGTGGGTCGCCATGCTCGCCAGGCAGGCGGAGGAGGAGGAGGGAGTGCCGCCAGGCAGCGGCGGAGGAGGTGTTGCTGGCTGGTTGGTGTGGGTAGAAAAAGGGAGATCACCACGAGGTCAGGTCTTAAATAGCGGGGGTAGGCGTGGCATAGCAGTTGACCCCCGCTCCGTGGTGTATGGCGGCGCTGGTTGACCTAGACCACGAGGCATACACTGGGGAATTGGTGGGGTCGGCTAGGCAGCGACAAACAGCGTTTGTAGGGGAGAATTCCACTACATGAGGCAGGCGATGATGGAGGAAGATTAATGGAAGAAAATAGAGAATATTATGGATTTGCTATCTCCGTTAATATACATTTCCGACGGTAATGTAATAGATGAAAATGATCTTATAATTAGACGTCTTAATAGATTAGTGGTAGGAAGTGGGAATGTTTAAACGCAATAATACCCGAAGTCGGTGAACCAGGCTATGGCGTCATCAGTGTGGGTGAGAGGGGTAGGGGAGGAGTGTGATAGTCGTAAATAATTCTAAATCATTCCAAGACGATGATATCAAGGTTCATTTGAGGCTCCGGGCTCCACCAGCCTTGTCGCTCACTTTATGTTAGTGTCTACCAATCAATGACTATCCATTCTTAGTATGAATTTTTGCCGCACAGCTTTAAATTAATGGTACCAATTGTCTTTAGACGACGATAGCGCCATTTCAGTAAATTATCCTCAGACGATAATAGCAGTTAAGGCGGCTAATTACCCAATCAGTGGCGAAGGGGATAAAGGTGAAATAAACTTATCAGACTAGAAAAATGGTTAGTTACACATATCCACACAGTCGTCACAAAGAGGGAGTAACGCACTTGAACACAATTGAGGTGCACAGGCGACTGCATAAAGGCAAGAATATGTACTTGATGGGATGTGACAACTTGGGAGTTCATGAAATAAAAATAGAAACAGCAAGTGAGCGAGCTTGCCTACTCAATAACCACCATCCCCGAGCTCCCGCCACCTAAGTGCATAGTTTACAGAGATAAATTAAGTTGTCTCCTCATTTTAATAAAGTGATTACGATTAGAACAAAGAATCACATGAGGTTTGCTGATGCACTGTCAGTTTACACTCGGTTGGGAATCTTTTACAGTGTTACCCCATTGTGCTCGGGATTTGGGCAACTACACGTACACCAGAGTGGAGAGGCAGATAAAAGATGAATTCAATGAAAAGTTGAGTGCATACTGTACCACAACGCGTGAAGAGGCATTGATCAAATTTGGAATCAAGTTAGATGTGAATGACCTGAGGATTAGACACCGCAGCTTATTTCACCTGATGATTACATGCGCTAAAGCTAATCTAATTTAACCTAACCTAACATAACCTAGCATACTCTAACCTAACCCCCTAGTAGCATTAGGGTGTTAAATCATCGGGTGAAATATGCTGGGTGTCAAAAGTTCAGGTGACCTTTATATGTTAATAAAAGATGTTGCATATGGTATAATTACGTGGAACAAAATTAATGCAGTAATAATTCCAAAGGCGATGTTTAACCACTAGATGAAACACAAGACAACTTTGGTGTCACTAGATATAGTAACCCAAAAATTTAATAATTATGCAATTTTTAATCAGAAAAGAAGATAACTTGATATGTAAGCATACAGAGATTGTCAGGCTCCCACAGACCACAAACTATAGATTTCGAAGGTCCAAGTAAAGTTGAAGGTACACATTATTGAAGAAAACAACAGAGTTTTATGTGGAAAAGTTAAAGAAACGAGAAATAGGGAAACAGAATCAAGTGAGAAGTGGAAGAAGATATAATGCATTAGTATGGAGAGGAATACTGAGGTAGCTTGGGGAGCACTATGTTAAGTAATAAGGAAGCAGCAAGGGTTAATGTAGGCTTACAAAAAGAGGAAACACACCATGGTTTAGCCTGGAAGCAAAGAAGCGGAATGAAGAGTAACAGTAGCTGAGAATGTTGATCAGTAAAATTAAGATTCAATCAAGCACTTTTAACTGCAAAGGTAGATGTCAGATTGGAATAATTTCTGGGAGGAAATGGTACTACAGGGATCCTTCCATACATGGGATGCATTCCTAAAAACATGATCATTAAGTGAACGATTGGACAGTACAATATCAAAAACGTTTTAGCATGGTGTGAATTGGGACACATTCCAGGAGTCAGTCAAAGTGAGGATTTTCCCCCAAATAGGCCCAAAAATCATGATAGTAAAGCACCGAACGCGACAATACAGTCCATACATAAATTTAGCATGGAAATGGTAAAATAAATGTTACATAAATATGGTAGAATTGAAAGACAGGTTAGATCATGCAAAAAATACATTATGAAGAATCTCCCACACATCATAAATTTAAAATGGAATTACTGTAGTAAAATTAAGGATAAAAAAAGATAGAAAAAATGGTGTTATCATACCTAAATTATGTCGTAAGGGCCACATCCAGAGGCTGGAGAACTGCTGTTGGTCTGAATAATCACTAACTCGGCCGCTAAGGAGTGGCTGGAACTCGGCATTCTTGCAGTGGTTGGAGTGGCAGGTCCTATTTCGGGGGAGGGGCATCGTCACTTTGGCTTTAAAAACTGTGACTCCTAAGGTGGATGGAACTGGTTTGGGAGACTCGGGCTGTGTTGTTTTGGGGTTTGGTCCCCAAAGAAGCTGGTAATCGTACTCTGTCAAACCTTTCGCTTCTTTGATAATTACATATCTGGATAGCAACGAAGCTGTTGCTCTATGTTGTTCGACATTAGAGAACTTCTCGTTGCATTTGGGTCTTTTTAGCCTGCTTCTCAGCTGCAACAGGTTTTTGTTACTGAGCTCCTGCTTATGACTCGAACCAAATGTTTATCCACATCCCATGGTTGATTGTTGAACATCATTCCATGACTCAAAAGATGTAGTCCATTGCATTCCTGATATTGTAATTGTGCCAAAATTCCTTGATCACTGGCTCATTTGGCCCATTGATCTCCTTGACCAGTTGGGCCTTTGTTCAGCACAGATAGAAGGCCTTGAATGTGGCTATCACTCCTTGGCCCATGGGCTGGAGGAGCAAGGTTGTGTTGGGTGGCAAAAACAACATGTCAGTGTTGTCCA